GGGGGGGGGTAAAAAGGGCACACGAATAAAGGTACTCGGTCTTTGGGTATTCCCCTGGTTTGTGTATTGATTGCTGAAGTTATAAAATTTACAGTCCCAGGAATTGAGGAGCCTCTCGCCAAATGAAGGGAGAAGATGTTAAGGTCGACTGATGTCCCTGCATGGGCGATTGATGCTGCTAGAGAAGAGGGCAAACCGGCCATCCTGCCTAACCCCCCTTTCTACTATTCCCCTTGTAAGGAGAAGAGTGAGAGAAAACGGCAAAAAGTCAGAATCTTATATTATTTATTCGAGGGAAGGCTGAATCGGGGTTCCAAGTATAAGGGGAACCCGTCAATTTCCAAAACCTCCAATTATGACTGGTATAACTATGAAGAAAATCGTTACGAAGGCGTGGGCTGTAACAATTACATTATAAATTTGATCATCTCCGATTAATCTCCCTGGCTGACCAAGCTCGGCTTGAATAATTAGTCTTGGGGATGTGCTTACTATATCAGACCGGGCTCTGAACACAAAGTATAAAGTGTCGATGTTTTTATGATTTGTTGGGAAAGTTATCGTTGCGTTAGGATTTATAGCGGAAAGGACGTCAAATTGTAAATTTGAAGATGTACAATTATTAAAGCTTAAGAGAGAATCTTGTAGTATAAGTGTAAGGACATTAGCAGTTCTATCAAAACTGTCTTTTTATCAGGCACTATACTTATTAAGGGGGTTAGATTACAGAGGGTTAGTTGTAGATTTATGTTATTTGGGGGCGCTCTTAGAAGATTGAATCTTAGATTAGGAGAAGGTGTCTACTTAAATAGGCTGAGGTGAGTTTAAAGTTTAATTCTTGCTTAAACTTATATTTTATAATTAGGGTGTATGTGAATTTTGATGAGTAGGGGGTAAATAAAATAGAGATAATTTATAACACAGATAGTTTTGTTATTCGCAGTATGGAAGATTAAGTGTTGGATTAGAGTCCGATTAAGTAAATTATAAAAAGTTTGGTGGGATTTTGTACCAGCAATCGCGGTTAAACTTTAAAGCTCAGTAAAAGTATTTTAGTTTAGGTTATTTTTACGCTTAAAGGTAAATTTAAATTTATAGTAATAAAAGGTGAAGCTGGTTTATTAGGAATAAATGAGAGCTGAATTATAAATAGGGGTAAACTCGGAAATTAAGATATAAACTAGGGTCAAATAACTCTATTATACTTAGAAGATAAAAATAAAACTTGTATATTAGTAGGTATGGTCTTTAAACTCAAAGAGTTTGGTGGTATTTTAGTCTTGTTAGAGGAACCTGTTCTGTAAATGGTACAACACGAAAAATCTTACTTTTGTTTAGCAGTTTGCATACCGTCATTATCGGGTATCCTTTGTTGGGGTAGTTACTGGAATCCGAGAAGTAGAGTATATCAGGCCAAGGTGCAGTTTATGGGTGAGAAGAAATGGAAATGGATTACAATAAAATTTATTTATTACGAATCAGTAATAGAATAGTTTCTGCGAAGGGGGATTTAATTGCAACACATAATTTAGTAAGTTAGTGTGACATGAGAGCTAAAGTACTCATACATATCGACCGTCGCTTTCCGCTTAAGGTGGGATAAGTTGTAATGTGGCAGGTGGACTGGAAGGTGTGCCTGGAACTAAGTTTATTTTGGCAGGAGGCGTGCGTTAAATTTAGAATTTAATTATATAGAAAGCACTCTATAGATAAGAGTATTGGGAATAGTGCTGTGGTTATTAGAATTGTGAGATACTTTATGTTGGTAGTTTGTGTATTAGTTGGAGTAGTATTTGTAACTCTCTTGGAGCCTAAGATTTTAGGTTATACCTAGATTCGTAAGGGCCTTAATAAATTGGGCATTCTAAGGTCACTCCGGCCTTTCGGGTGCTGTTAAATTGTTTGTAAAAGAGCAGAATTCGCGGGTAGCATCTAATTTTACCTTATTGTTTATTGCTGGTATCCGGTCTATTAATTGTTTTAATTTTGCAGGGGGTGTTCCGTACGATTTAGGATTAGTGGTTTGGTGCGGGAATATTATTTTTTTATGTTGTTTAAGGCCAGGGCCTATCCTTTGCTGGGGGCTTGGTGGGCTTTAAATTGTAAATATTCTTTATTAGGGAGTCTTCGTGCTGTAGCACAAACTATCAGGTATCAGGATCAATGCTTGTAATCATAAGATTTGTAGTGAATCTATAGTTATAATTAAGTAAAAAATAAAGTAAATATTCTAAAGCTAAAAAAAATAGCACCTGAATTGTTTAACAAATGTAAAAAATAATGAGCTAAGGTAGTTTGTTAAAGTTAAAATAAAGGAGACAATATAAAAGGGACTAAAATAATTTGTGGTGAACAAATAAAGTGATGATCAAATAATGGAGCTTGGGAATATGATAGTAGGTAGTACTTTAAAGGTAATTCTTTAAAGTTAGAATTATAATATAAAATTATAATATAAAAGGGATAATATAAGTTGTAGTGAACCAATAAAGTGGTATTCAAAATAAATGAGCTTTGGAGTTAATGGCATAAATAGTGAACTTATTAACGTTAAGCACCTGAGATAGCACCTTGATTAGTTTAACAATTGTGAATATATGAGTAAGGTAAGTTATATAAAGCTAAAATAAGGAAAAATAAAATATATAAGGGGACTACAATTAAGTAATGGTAAACAAGTTAAATGGACAGATAGTCACTATGAAATATTATGGTTTAGGGAGTAAGATCTGATTTGTAATAGTTAAATAAGTTGAGCAGTTTTTGCACAATAAAAAGTTAAAAAAAACTGTGGTAGTTGGTACTAGCTAGCAAAAGATTGTTTTGGTACTTGCAAAAAGTAATTGGAATTTCACTATTGCATACACAATAAAAAGTGACTAAAAAATAGTTGTGGTAAACAAAATTAGATGGCAGGTAGAACAGAATTATTATTAATTTGGAGTATGTTTGACTGTAAATAAAATTATGAGCAATTATTAGCAGTAGAAGAAGTAAAAAGTACTGGAGGTAGTTAGCATTAGCTTGTGATGAAAAAAATAATAAAAATAATAAAATCCCAATATAATGTAAGGGTACACTCATAATGTCACCACACATATATATTATTAAGGGCACTTATTAATTGTTACAGAAATGGACAGCTTTTCTAAGGAAGGTTGAGAATCGTGTTCATTTGAGATAGTATATTGTTGTCCTGTTGATGTTTTCCTTATAGTATTTTCCATCTCGCGTGAAACATGATGTATTTTGTTTCCTGTTTAACGTTTTTCAAGCCTGAACAGAAGGTTTTGACGTTTTTTGTTAGGCACTCATTTAGTAAACTCAATTTATCATGTAATTGCTGATTTAATTGGTTCCTTCTTTTATCGTATGAATGAGTCGGTCATTATACTGTGTTTACTTCCTGGTTTTCCTAGCAAAAGTAGTTTCTTGATTTCATTGTTTTGCATGATGGACTTGTAGTGGTCCTGCATTATCCTGATAGCAGTTTCTTTGCACTTTGCTTGTGTTATGTCATTGGAATGTGTGGACTGTTAATTAGAACTGCAATCAGAACTTATCTTGTTCAGTTTTGTCCGTCTTGGAAGTCAAGGTATTTAGTCGAGTGTGCTTGTTCTGATTCCGTCCTTGATTGCATCTCAACCTTCATATGTTATGTTAGTTATTTGTTCGGTGTGACTGGCTATTGCTGCTTTCAGAGTATTTTCTGTGTCAACACTTCCGATGTAATTTCTCTTCAAGGTTTTGGATCTAGTTCTCGAGGTTGGTTACTTGGATTCTCGTCCGCTCCCGCCCCCCCCCCCCCCCCCCCCCCCCCCCCCCCCCCCCCCCCCCCCCCCCCCCCCCCCCAAAGTTGCTTTGATATTCTTTGATTTCGTTTTCTAGAAAAACAAATAGCAACGATGTAGTCCTTGATATTATTCAGGAATAATCATACCTGAGTAATCATGGGTGAATCCTTTGAAGGGAGTGGAGTTGGAGGGGGAGTCAGCCATGTTTGTTGTTGGTGTTGTTCCCTGGGTGGCGGCGGTGAGGGGGGTTGATGATACACCGGCGTCCTGCTGGGTAGACAAGTTGAGTTCTAGGGTCCTTGCTGTTATTCTTTTATTACTGATGTTGTTTCTTCTGCGATATCCTTTCATAGTATCACTGAAGTAGATACTGTGTAGAAATGGAGAAGGCTTGTTTTCTCGGAGCTTGGGTTAAGTGGTTGTCTGGCAGCGTAGGCAGTGTTTGGGTTAGCAGGGCTGTCTTCCTTTGATCTTCTAATTTTGTCAAGATTTGGGTTACATTCTTAGTATTCTTGGGTCATTTTGTGGTCAACGTGGGTTCATGTAGTTGAACTTTCACTTAGGCCATCACAAGTTTTGGTGAGCAATGTTTTTTGAGGAAGAAGAGCTGGTAGGATGCCGCTGCTGCCGCCGCTGGGCAAGAGAACGCAGAATACAAAATGTATCACACGTATGCATTGAATCATCCTCACTGGCTTGTAAACAATGGCACACTGGCTGTACATGGAGTGTCCGTGCCACTCGTGGCGTGTGGACACATTCAGGACGATTGTCTTGAACCGAGTTCTTTGTCATTAGCCGAGCCAATATTTTGATGCAAAAACGTGTCATTATCCAATTTTTACGTTATCCGATGATGTCGTTAACTGAGAGTCCACTGTAATACATCAAACACATTGGCTCGTAAGATGTATATATACTAATGAAACAGTCAAAGGGTAAAGTGTATTCTAACCTTACTACTCTAAAATCCAGCAAATTTAATAATCTGGCACACTACAGGTCCAACATGCTGGATTGGGGATGGCGGACAGTACTATAAAAATTGAACTTTAAAAAAGTAGTGCAAAGGATATAGGAAACTGGAGCTCTAGCAAGCTTGATTAGAAATTGTCCAACTGGTGTGAAAAGATTTTTTGGGCGCTGCATTAAGATTCTCCAACTTTTATTCAAAACATTCCAGAATGAAACAGAAATATAAAATGAGGCACTCTAAAAAAGCAAAGGTTTTTAATATTTGCCTATATTAAATATGAAATAAAAAAAATATATTTCTAATCATGCCCAACCCCTAAATGGCAATTGCAGCAAATAGTTTATTACAATTCATTGCAGAAAGATGTGCTCACAGCAATCAAAGTTGAATGCCTAATAGGGAGGACAAGCAGTTAATAAAAATCACTTAGGTGGATTTTTCTGGTGGCTTCATTTTGTCCTTTCTTTTCAAAGCTTTACACAAAAATCACAAATTTGGGCTTCTCCCGGTGTGGTATTCGGGGGACAGTGACTTAAGCCAACATTAAACACCTGCCACAATACTCACAAGTGTGAACCCCACTGATACCTTTTGGGTTTGTTTCTTACCTTGAGTTTTGATGCAGCTGGTGCTTCTTGCTGAGCCAATTTGCACTTAACTTTGGGTTTTGGTACAGTTGGCACTTCCTGCTTGATTGGTTTGTGCTTCTTAATCTTAAATTTAGGCACAGATATCACTTCCTGCTGAACTGGGCTGTGCTGAGCTTTGAATTTTGGCACAGCCAGTACTTCCTGCTGAATTGGTTTGTGTATTTTAACTATAGATTTTGGCCAAGCCAGTGTTTCCTGGTGAGTGAGTTTGTGCTTGACTTCATGTTTTAACACAGTTGGCACTTTTTGCTGAGCTGAATTATGTTCAACTTTGGATTTTGGCACAACCAACACTTCTTGCTTAATTTATTTTGTGCTTCTTACCCTTAGATTTTCAGTGAACTGGTTTGTGTTTCTTAACCTTGGGTACTGGGCCCAAACGGAGCCTCCTGTGGTAATGGGTTGTGCTCAAAATTTGGGTTCTGACACAGCAGGCACTTCCCGCTGAACCACTTTATCATCCAAATAAATGTCTTTAATTTTTGGTGTATGTGGAGTACATCGGAGCGACTGAACCATTTTCCACAGAAGCATACATATGGTTTCTCATCCATGCGAGAACACAACGACACCTTGCATAAGGAGACAATTTCTTTCTGGCATATACTGCACTCTTGCTGGTTAGGATCCTCTGAGCCTTGAGTATCAAGCTTGTCGGTGTTTTCCAAAGACTGTTCCTTGATGTTAATAATCCCCTCTGTCTTCACCTGAACTGTAGTGGAAGCACATTGCTCTCTTAAAATGTTATTAACTTTGCTTTTTACTGTGGATGTTCCTATATTATTACTTTTGACTTCCAGCAACATTGAACATTGATCTGGATTCATCATGTATCTAAAGGAGTGAATTTTTAGGTGACTGCTTCCAGCAAATTTACATCAAAAACACAAACTTCCCTGAGTGAGTTTGCCAGTGGAGAATAGGGAAGTGAAGAACTACAAGGATTTTGTATATATACTGCTGACAAGGCTTTCCTTATTCCAGGACTATCATATAATGACCTGCACAAATGTTAGCACACTGGTGCTAAGATGGGCTGTAGTATGGGCACTGTAAAGGTAATTCTTCTGGTGCCATGATGACCTGCAATATTTGCATGACAATAGTGCAAGGATCATCTACAGTATTAGTACTGTACTGAAAATGTAATGCCAGACTCTAGTGCTAGGTAAGCTGCAGTACTGATACAAGGGTAGTGTCTGCCTCTAGTAAAACAAAGATCTGCAAAAAAAAAAAAAGGTCATTAAATGGCTTACAAATATTTACCAACCATAATCATTTGTTTAATATTTTGTTACATAAACATTCAGTTTCAAGTATGCTCTAAGTATCTTCCAAAATTTTTGAAGCATTTTTATTACAAATACACTTTTAGACGCAAAAAAAATAACACTGGTTGTATCCCACTAAGGTAGAGTGGTCGCTAAAGCTCTCGCTTCACACATCGAGGGGTCTGGGTTCGATTCCCAGTGAGAGTAGAAACACTGGGCATGTTTCTTTACACCGGTTGCCTATGTTCACTCATTAGTAAAATGGGTACCTGAGAGTTTGTCAAATTTGGGGTGGGTCGCATCCTGGGGCATAACTGACCTAACTTGCCCGAAATGTTTGCATAACAAGTGACTCTTATATATGTAATGTGTCATTGATGTCAGCTAGGCCTGTATACCATGTACACATACTTGTAAATAAATAAAGATATTATTATTCTTAATGAATCCCGTGAAGCAGTCACATTTTTTGAATCTGCACTAAAGTTTACTTTTAATCACATATGCAAAATATGGTAATTAGTCCAGCCCACTGGAAATATGCAATGATAAACAAGTTTTTTATTTATTTATTAAAGTAATACAGGTTGGTCATCACTAATCCGGCAATCAGTGATCCGGCACTAACTTCAGCTAGCATAATTTCAAATTTCCGGGGTCGCCACACCAACCTGCTGCTACTGTTTAGTGGCACTACTTGCTGCATAAGTGATTCCAATTTCTTTTTCTCCATTTATTGTTATAACCTGCTTACTTTTAGCCCTAGCCATGGTTCCAACAAAAGAAATGCTTCACGCTGTGTAAAGCCTTTTAAAGATCAAAAAAGACTGGGGATAACCGACTAAACTAATAGCAAAACCATTATGAACATAGGTATTAGGCAGGTTAAGGGGTCAATTGTGGAGCAGCTATATGAAAGCCAAAATTTACTAGTGGAGAGACTATTGTCTATAAATACCATACCAAATGTCTATTTACTAGACGTTCCATCAATATGCACATTGCACTGGTAAAAGCAATGGGATCTTAGAGTGAGGCATCATGGCCTGAAGTACCTGATTTACAAAAAGGCAGAACAACGGCAGATTTTTACAGCTGTGGAAGAACTCCTTGTGACCAAATAAGATTGAAAAGATGTAAGAGGACTGCAAGGGCTGATGGATGTAACTGCTGAGACATATGAATGCCATCAGGCCCAGTTGCCAATGATTGGAAAGTGGAAAGTGTTGAATCCAGTTCTAGAAGCATAAAAGGCATAGCATAAGACCTGTCTCTGCTAGAAGAAAATTCTAAAGGTAGTAATTCTGGTGCTCTTGGAGGAAAGAAATGAGGATAATAGATGGAGCGCCTGAGAGATACGGACATGAGGGGCACAGATGGACTGCCTGAGATATGGACAAGATGATTTCCAATCTCTGTGGCAACTTCAAGAAGTCTTGCAATGCTGACATTGGTGACTCAAAGAACAGGATCCAGGTCTGGAGTGTACATGCCACTCAGTTTCCATAGTTTTTTTCCAAACTGCATTCATAGAGGAAGCTGAAGTAATGGAAGAAACATAATCCAACCAACACGTGTGTTTAGCTTCATGGATGACATGATGGGCAACTGCTTTCACCCACTTAGTAAGTAAGTAAGTAAGTTTATTCAGGTATACACAAATACAGTTACATAGAATTATCATATATAGCAGCATATGTGTAGAGAACCTAGGATAACCCAAAAAAGTCAGACAGAGTGACTTATTTCCATTGGGGTCCTTTTACCTTATTATTATAGTATAAAGGTTATAATATTTTCTTATTGTTCTACAATGAAGATAACATCTTATCATACTAAAAAGACTATCTGCGACACCAAGGTCATTAAGACTATCTACAATACGAGGGTCATTACAAGGAATAAGGTAAAATTTACACGTATGTTAGCTAAAAAATAGAAAATCATTCCCCTCCCTTTCTGTAGCTACATTCATCAGACACCTTTTGGCACTCTTCTTGAACTGGTTCACGCTATGACTGGCTTTGACATGTGCGGGTAGTCTGTTCCATTCCTTTATTGCTGTACAATAAAAGGTGTTTGAAGCCTGGCCACTGACTGGGGGTACTACAAAGTTGTGCTCTCTCCCCAAAGTCTATGATTGTTTTTGGTTCCCAGCCTTGACAAAATTGACAGCAAGATATTCTGGACATTGCTTGTGAGCAATTTTATAAACAGATTTAGCTTCAGTTTTTTTACTCTGTCTTCAACATTCAGCATATCCAAACTGCTGTAATTCATCCTGGCCTACATGTTCTCTTGGTCCCAGCCCCAGGATGAATCTTACGATTTTGTTCTGGGTGATTTGCAGTCTATCTTTCAGTTTTTTTGTCAAGGCAGAGTACCAAGAAGAGCAAGCGTAATCCATATGGCATTGTATAAGGGTTTAGACATAGAGCCCTTTGCGAGCCTCAGTAGGTAGACACTGTGCTTGTCTATACAGGAACTTCAGTCTGGCATTCGCTTTCTTACTAACACTGTTCCCTATCAATTCTCCTGACATGCAGGGGTCAAAGGGTTTCCCCAAATATTTTACTGATAAAACCCAAAGTAAAGGGCTCCATTACATTGAACATTAAAATTATTTACCCTTCTCATTTAAATGTTTCGTGCCAAAGAGAATGGCTTCATTTTTCCCTAGGTGTAATGATAATTTGTTGTCTACTAACCATTTGCTGCAGGACTCCAGTTCCAGTGTTAAAACATTAGCAATATCTTGTGGGTCTTTACCTGACACTAACAGAGCACTGTCATCTGCATACAGTAGGAGTTTGCACTTGACACTGATAGGCATATCTTTGACATAACATAAGAAAAAATAAGGGACCCAGAAATACTACCTTGGGGAACCCACATGTTATCGGCAGGGGTTCTGATTCTGTTTTGTTGTTTTTTGACTATTTGTCTCCTTTGCTAAGGTAGGACTTAAACCAGTCTACAGAACCTATACCGATAGTTTGAAGTTTATTACATAATATATTGTGGTTGACAGTATCGAAGGCCTTTTGCGGTCTAAGGTTACCATGCCTATGAGGTTCCCCTTGACATTTCATTCTCAGGTAATCCATCAGATTAATAAGGGAGGTGTCGGTTGAGTAGGATCTTCTAAAGCCCGATTGATAGCTATGGAGAATGTTGTTGTCATTAAGGTACTTAACTACTTGAGAATACACCCCCCCCTCTCTAGAATTTTAGATATTATACTGAGTATACAACAGGCCTATAGTTGCTTACATCAGACCTACTATTTTTCTTGAAGATAGGAGTAACTCTGGCCTCCTTTGAACCCCTCCGGTACTGTTTTAGGGGTGTTGATAGATTTATTATGTGAGCAATAGGGATGACAGTTCAGAAGCACCATCTTTTAGGAACTTAGACGGGATGTTATCAGGGCCGTGCTCTTAGTTGGGTTTAACCTGCTTAGTTCTTTTTGAATAAAGTCATGAGATACACTTACTAGTTGACAACTGTTTGGGGTTTTACCCCTTTATTGGTATAGTATGTTTGAAACTTACCCAAGTCTGTGTTATAGGTATTTTGATGCAGCTGGTAGTTTACTTACTAGTTTTTGATGCAACAGATGTGTAGTATAAATTTAAAAGCAATTTGCCACCTTAGATGTTTCGTGGCATACCTCATTATCGATAGTGAGTACTATTTTAGACCTATCTACTGGGTTATGGCTATACCCCAACTGTTTTAGTTGTTGCCAGAGCTTTCTGGGGTTATGCTATACTCTTCAATTTTTGAGCAGTATGCTTTGCCTTTGCTCCTTTATAAGTCTCTGTACTCTGTTTCCTCACCCCTTTTGGAATTCATTTAGTGCTGCAATATCCTGTCTGTTTGCTTTAAATCTTTTTTAGCAGGGTGGTCTCTGAATTTCATATTATCTAATATCTCAGTATTCATCCAGGTTCAGTTCTTCGTTTAATCCTAACCTCTTTAACTGGTGCAATTATCAAGGATGGTAAGTAACATTTTTTGAATTTTTCCCAGGCATCGTTTACGTCCGTGCAACTTGTTTTTCTCTGTCCAGTCACAATTGTGTAGCCTATTTACCAGTGTTTCTTTACTGTAGTTTCTAGTTGACCTCATTTTTATTGTCCTGTGTAGGCCTATCCTATCCCTAGTTATTTTCTGGTGCAGTAAATGATGAAATGATCACTAAGACCTGTGGGAATGACGCCTGAAATGACTAATGTTTTCAGAGCGGTTACAAAGTATGTGGGCAATTAGGGTGGCTGAGAACTGTGTGATCCGGGTTGGAGTATTAATAAGTTGAGTGTAACTATTTAATCCTAGAATTTGCTTATACCTTTTGCATAGCCCGTTATTTTGCTGCTGAAAACAGATATTTAAGTCGCCCATATTATGTCTCGCAATTGTTTTCAACTCCGGACAAGACTCTGGAAAAGTCTTCTAAGAACTGGTCCTGGGTAGGAGGGCGGTAACTAGTTCCTACTAAGATGGGTTGGGGCTTAGGAAGCAGCACTTCAAACATAAAAATCTCCAGTTTATTGTTATTTAAAATCAGGTCTGGTTTTTAAGCTAAGTCATTTCTAAGTAGGCACATACTCCACCCCCCTTTCTGTTCCTATCTAAGCGTTTTTTATTTTTAACCATCTATTTTGACCTCGTCGTCAGTCCCCCGTATCATCCAACCAAGATTTAGAGATGGTTTTTAACTGCCGCCCTAAATTTTGTTAGCTAGAATCCCAATCTCTGCCAATTTAGGAAGAAGTGATCTTGCATTGACAGAATAAAGTGAAGGCCCGTTTTCATAAAACAATCATAATCATCAAAATATGGCAATGGGTCATTTTATTAAAATTTGGTAATCAATGTCAAACACTGCTAAAGGGTAACTGTGCCAAAGTGCATTGTTACACACAAAATGAATTCTGGCACCGTTGCTAAATTGTACATACATCCATCATGCACCCACCCCTTACACATTTTACATAAGGTGCCTTTTCTGTTTTTCAGCGTACTTTAGTACAGTGTATGCACCTGTTTGGGAGTGTTTGAGATAAAAATGGCTGTATTGTCTCACATTGACCTATGTAGCATTACATATGGAGTTAAGGTTATCATTCCTAGCTGCTAGACCGTCATTATTGCCGTCATTTATCTGTCTGTTTTGCTCTGCACAATAGTTTGAGGTCCTGGATTAATTTGGATATCACCACTTAAGAGCGCTACAATAAGAGCTGTGTGC